AATCTCAAGAACAACTTTTATTTTCAAGAACAACTATTTAGGATAATAACAGCCAAACAATATTAAAACCAAGAAAACATGAAAAGTAATGCTTAAAGAACACAATGATAATGAAAATGTTACTATGCTACATTCACAAAACAGTTTTAGAAAAATTCAAATTTCACCAGATCAACAACATTAAAAAATCTTTTTATAAGCTATAAAATAAAGTCATTAATTATAACCTGTATATTATCAAAGCTATAATGTAAAGTCATAAGCTATAACATGTTTATTATATAAGCTATAAAGTGAAGTCATAAGCTATAACCTGTAGTCTTTTTAAAAATTAGTAAAGCATTAAAAAATAGTTTTAAATGTTATAAAGACAAAACCATACTTCAATAATTTTTTTGCAAAATATTAGGTCAAAAAGTTGTTTTAATTGTCAAAGTATTATGTTATGTAACTTTTAATGAATGCAAAAAAAGAATTCAATATTTGATAAATGTACCAAAAAGCACTAGAATGATCTACACCTTTTAACAGAGAAACAATGTTTTAACTGTGTTTTAGATGGACAAAATAAAAAATTTCTCTGTGCATTTGATGTCAAATATCCCTCACTTAGAAAACATAGGATTCTAAAAAAAAAGCCTGAAGTCATCATTTAAATGCCTACTTCAATGAAACAAAAGAAATTACTTAAATCATGCTCATTATGGAATGTTCAACCTATTGTCAATCAACCAGATACTCATCTGGAGTATCTGGAGGTTGAATTTTTTCTTCTAAGAGCAGCTGTAGCCACTAGCTCTAGCTGTAGCTGTAGACTGTAGACAAGTATTCACAGAGCTGACTGGAGGTGACTGGAGGTCCAACATTTTTATTACAGAAACGCGAATAATTACTGAAAAGAATAGTAGAAGCAATGATAAAAGTATATTTTAAAGTAAACTATAAAAAAAAAGAAAAAAAAAAAAGATTAAGATGGAGGTTTCATAATAATGTTTGTGAAAAGAGATTTTATTAAAACAATCAATTACACATAAATTACTACAGAGTAAACAATTTCACTCATTTCAACATGTATTTATGAAAAAGGAAAAAAATATTTTATTTTGGCAATTTTATAATTAATATTATAGCAAATAAATAATTAATATTAATTTGCATTTATAGAGTAATAATGGTTTTTCCTGCAAAATAGTATAATGAATTTATAGATTTAATTAAAATGATAGTTTCATCAGGTATCTCATATGCATTTATTCTTTTTTTTTTTTTTTTTTTGCATATCAGATTATTTTCCATAATTTCTATGGATATCAACTGTAAACTTTTTACACCATTTAAATGAGAACTTACTTTTTGACCCCAAACTATACAACAAAAGCTAAGAAGGGATAAAAACATGAAAAAGTAAACTGATCTCAAAGTATCTTTAGGGCATAATATCATATTAAAAATAACATTGTTTGTGTGGGTAGTTTACTTAAATTAATCAGCTGATACTCATTCATATGTTTTTTGTAAAAAAAAAAAACACAAAGATACTTTACATATTTAAATGGAAAAAATCTTTTACCATTTAAATATGTAAAACTTTTACTATCAAATTTCTATTATTGATATCGGCTAAAAATCAAGTCTCTCGTAGTAAAGAACTACCTGTACCATAACCACCTCAAAGTTATGTCGTTTAGCAACAAACAATTAAAAATAACACAATAAATTTTCAAGAAGCTTGCTTATAAAATAAGCCATATTTACTATCTAAAAAAAATCTCAAAATCAAATGATTTGGTACTTGATTTGGTACAATGATTTGATCAGCTGGTATTTTGTAGGTTATGACATGTTATATAGTATATGACATATGGTATATAACGACTGTCTTGGGTATAAAATATAAGCAGAATAGTGGCATTTATTAATGGATAATTGATGGTTCAAAAGTAAGCTTATTAGCTGTTCTTTTAAATATCATCAATAAACTTCCCTTATAAGAGAAACTCTAATATAGCAAAGCAAATCAATATATTTTCACTCTAATATATATATATATATATATATATATATATATATATATATATATATATATATATATATATATATATATATATATATATATATATATATATATATATATATATATATATATATATATATATATATATATATGTATATATATATGTATATATATATATATATGTATATATATGTATATATATATATATATATATGTATATATATGTATATATATATATATATATATATATGTATATATGTATATATGTATGTTACATATGTATGTTATATATATATATATATGTATATATATATATATATATATATATATATATATATATATATATATATATATATATGTATATATATATATATATATATATATATATATATATATATATATATATATATATATATATATATATATATATATATATATATAACAGTGAGGAATAATTACAAACAGTTAAGAACTGATGGGAGTATAGACCTGTAAAAACTGATAGATGTAAAGACCATTTTTTACTATTTAATTTTAATCATATCTTTTTATTATGCCCATCATAAGTTTACACCATGTTTATATATTAAAATTTATAACTTCAGCAATGGGTTTAACTACAGCACTCCAGTATGCATTAGTTTTGTGTGAACTTAAGCTTTAAAACATGGTATTTTTTCAACCATTTAACTGTATTTATTTTCAGTTGTTGTTAAATGTAAATTAAATTAATAAAACCTAAATTCTCTCAACTTTTTACAAGATATCTTTTAATTGTATTCTGGTATGGAAACTTAATATGTTCATCCTATAACAACAACAAAAAGTTATTATAAGCACTTCAAACAATAAATAATTGAAATACTTTTGAATTAAAGCATTGTCTTTTGAATAGAAAAGAAGATGTTTGTTTCTGGAAGATATCTAGGCTAGCTTTTTAGTCATAAATCAGTTATAAATCCATGCATAGGTGTTTAATCCATCATGATTTTCTGGAGTATGGCTAGGCTGGCTTGGTGTAGTTCAGAGATAAATCTTTGACGCTGGTTACTAACAACACAAGACTCTACTGAACGACATAAACAGCACAGACTTACACATTACACCCTTATGCACATACAGTGGTGGCCATTGAATTAAGGCACCTAGCAGAATTGCAGTTTTAATTAAGCAAGTCTAGTTTCTCTTTCATAAAATTGTATTATATGTACTATTAGTATTATAAAATGTTCTAAAACATATCTAGCAGCATTACTTTTAAAATTCATCAACAAAAAGTCTCAAAATCTTAGTATTTCGTAGGGTAACAACGATTTTTCAATACAGCCTGTATACAAGAAGGCATACTTTTTACAAGCTTGTCACAGTACTTTGGCGTAATTTCATTTACCCACACCTGCTTCAATAGATCTTTTAAATGTTCCTCTGGCATTGGACAATGTGCTGACACTTTAGCTTTCATTAAATTCCAACAATTTTCAATAACGCTCAAATCAGGCAGTTTTGAGGGCCAGTTCTTCAAAAGTTGCACATCATTGTCATGAAACCACTTCTTGACTGATTTTGCAGTATGACACGGTGCTGAGTCTTGTTGAAAGATGGTAGTTTCAGAAATGTTCATATGTGTCTTAACCTTTGACTCTAAAACCTGTATAAACTTTGCAGCATTGACTTTTTCGCCCTTACCAAAAATGTAGATTTCGCATCTACCCTTAGCGAGAAAGCTCCCCACATCATAACAGATGGTGGATGTTTACTTGCTCACAGTCTTCAGAGTGTATTTAGGGTTGAGTCTTTCACCTACCATTTAACAAACATAATTGTACCTTGAACCACAAAGTTGCTGGAAAGTACTTTTGTCAGTAAACATCGCAGTAGTCCACCACTCAGCAGTTTCGTCTTTCATATCACAACAGAATTTCATGCATGCCTGAAGCTGCTTCTTGGTGAGAAATGGCTTCTTTGCTGGTCTACCCGCATGCAGTTTAAATTCTGTAGACAGACGTCTGCGAACACTTCTGGCACTAATATTAATGCCTCTTTCCGTGGCCAATTTGGTAACTCGAGCAGAGGAAGTGTGAGGACTAGCTTGCACAATACTTTTCAGGTATTGATCATCACAGGGTGTAGTTTTGCAAACGATGTGGCAATTTTGATTTCTAGAACTCCCATGCAACTACTGTACAGCCTGTTTACATCATTTGCATGCTTTTTGCTCATTCATAGATAAACTATCTTTGTTTGAACTTATCCTTATTTGAATAATATTTTCTTTTAATAGATAATATGTGTTGAAATGTAGATATAGATTTGTATGTTATGTATTATGGTTATCATGTGTGATTGAGTTTTTTATTTTATTTTAGGTCCTTGCATAGCAGTGATAATATGAAAATCAGCAGAAAAATAATTTTTTTTTTTTTGTTATTAATTACATTGTCTTTTATTCTGTCTTTTGAATTAAAGCATTTTTGAATTAAAGCTTTTAATTTTATTTATATTTTGTTCAACATTTATTTTTATCCAAGCATTTTTTTCAAACTGATTTTCAACTGGCTTTTTCTGGAATGCAGACATTTGATGTGTTGTTATAATGCCCTTACAAAAAATTTTATCAATAAAAGTAAAGTAAAACAAATTATAAAAAGTTATAGAAAATATTGCAAATTTCAATTGTTCAAATCCATGTGAATTTTAAATAATTGCAGAGTTAAAGCAAAAATAGTTTACAGTATGAATGAACTTTTCACATTCTGTAAACAATATTCCAACTTATATAATTACTTATTTGCTATAAATTTCATAAATATTTCTTTACTAAAACTTTTATAAATATTAATTTGCTATAAATTTTATACATATTTATTTACTATAAACTTTATGAATATTTATTCACTATAAATTTTATAATATACAATGCTAAAAAAATTAAGTTAAAATTAAGTTTTAAGTAAATTAAAAAGACTATGTACAATATTTCTTATACCTCTATCACCATGGTGAGTATATTCATTATAATTAAAGATGTTATCAGCATTTCCCATGGATAAGACTCAATCAATGCCCAAGCAGTATATTGCCAACTTTTGACATCCTCTGGCATAAAGCGCTCCATTGGCTTGGAAGACATCGCAAAAATTAAACTGTTTTTCTAGACATATTAAAAATATTTTCAGATAAAAATCAACGTCTTTTAAAAATGAAAAAAAAAAAGGAAAAAAGTAATTACCTCATATAGTTAATCATAACAGAATTATTATTTTTACATTAAATGTAGTTGCAAAAAAGAGTGTTAATTTTAAGATTTTTCTTAACAATTTTGACTAAAAGAACATTTTTGGATTAAAACATTATGAAAATTACTAAAAAACCTAAACTAAAACTTTTTTCTGATATTAAAGATTCTTAACCCAATGAAAACATAGATTAAAATTTCTTTTTAGCTATAACTTATTATTTTTAGTATTTTTATAAGAAATTCTTCATATATATATAAAAGTTTAAATATATTGTCTACCTATTAGAATTACTTTAGGAAAGTACATTATTTATATTATGTTGGCCTATTAGGATTACTTTACAAATGGTTTCATCTGTAACAATATAAACAATAGACCTTACAACTTGTAATTCAACTTTTCAAAACTATATAATATCTAAAATATGTAAATATTCCTGAACTTCAGCTTCAAACTTCTTTTGGATTATAATTAAAATTGCATTTTTATTAGTTAATTTATATGTTTTATATATCTTATACTACTGAGTTAGGTGAGCATGATGACCTTATACTGAAATAGCCTGCTGCGGGGGCTTCAGTACATACATCGACTGACAAATAGCCTGACTCGCAGTGGAGTGCTGCTACATCGACTGAGGGTTTGGTTTGGGTAAGCAACCTTTTCATTTATTATTCTTTGTTTTCCCTCATCGTTTTCTAAAAACGCTCACTTAATTTAGGCTAGCAAAAAAAGTGAGCAGTTGCGCATATAAATATTCTACAGTAGATATATATAGATTATCAAACAATATTCTTTTATCACTTGCATATACATGTTTATATATATACATATATATATATATAGACATATATATATATACATATATATATATATATATATATATATATATATATATATATATATATATATATATATATATATATATATATATATATATATATATATACATATATATATATATATATAAATATATATATATATATATATATATAAAACTGTGATTCCAACCACCCGCCTAAAGTTATTAAAAAGACTCCAATGTACTGTTGAAATAAGATTATCTTCAACGTCATCAAATGAAGTTGTACTACACCATCTTACGAAGAGGCTTTTAAAAAAGCTGGTTATAACTGTAAGCTTACATACCAACCCCAGGTTACATCACCTAAAAATAAAAATCGCAAGCGAAATATTATATGGTATAACCCTCCGTTTAGTCTAAATGTAGAAACAAAAATAGGAAACGTTTATTAGCATTCGTTGATCGACATTTTCCTGTGAATCACAAACTACGCAAAATATTCAATAGAAATTCGATCAAGGTTAATTATAACTGCATGCAAAATATTAAATCCATCATTAGTTCACACAACCACAAGATTTTACAAAGTAAAAGAAATATAACTACAAAAACATGCAACTGTATTACTAAAACCGCTTTTCCATTAAGTAACCAATGTTTAGTAAGTAATATTGTTTACCAAGCCACTGTGAGTTCTAATGATCCAGATCCTAAGGAAAAAGTATATTTTGGTATCAGTGAGACACCATTCAAGCTCAGATACACAAATCATTTAAAGTCTTTTAATGCAATCAAATATAAAAATGATACTGAACATTCAAAAGAAATTTGGAGTTAAAAAGAAAAAGGTACAACACCTATTATAAAGTGGAAAATTGTAAAACGCTGTGAAGCATACAAACCAGAAACAAAAACCTGCAAACTTTGTCTTCATGAGAAGTTAGAAATTTTATCTTTTAATGGAAACAACCTGCTTAATAAAAAAGAAGAAATATTATCTCAATGTCGACATTTAAATAAATTCCTGTTATCTTCGTTTGATACTGGAGATTAAATGATTGCGCCTTTTCAAATTACGTCAGAACTCGTTCTACAGTAAAATTTTGATTCGTTTTTTAAACGTTAATTTTTAATTTTAAATTTGTAATTAATAGCTGATGATTGCCAAAAGGCACGAAACTTTAAGTACTATTATAATGTTGTTTTTCTTCATTTAAATAATATATATATATATATATATATATACATATATATATATATATATATATATATATATATATATATATATATATATATATATATATATATATATATATATATATTTGTTTAAATATATTTCACTTGAAATACTCACAAGCAATTTATTTTCATAAAATTAACTACATGAAATGGACAAATTTGCAACATCCGTGCGTGACTTTCGTGCGTGATCATTCATAAACTGCATTTAAACAATTGCTGTGACTCTATGATTCATAGTGCAATCCTGTAACTTTCTGGAAATCATTACTAATGTTTGACTCACTGTGGACCAGAGTGACTGCCAGGTTAAGTTGTTCCCCAGGTCTGATTTTTTTTTTCAATAGTTGGGTATACATTAGTAGGCATTATTTATGCCATTAACAACTTCTGAGTGATTTGAAGCCAAAAAAAGTTTGCTCAAAAATATTTATATTTAACCATAAAAATCTTAATAAATTAGTTAAAAACTTAGTTGAAAGTCCGCGACATTATTAAACTGTGTATAAAATAGCGGACTATTTACATAAAACGTGTGCTGTTTGTCTTACACAGTTCGGTAAAAAGTAGTTTAAAATTCAAAAGATTACTCCAGAAATTGAAATAAAGATAAAAACTTTCGTCTGGAGTCAGTATAGTTTAGATGTAACCAACTATCCCAAGGTTATTTGTAACAACTGCCACAGAAACCTCTATGATCTCAGCAGGAGCAAAGTGAAGTACCTAGGGAACTGGATAGAGAAGATATCCAAGGTAAAACTCATGCTAATCTGTTTTTTTATATATAACAGTTATTATTACTTTCTAGTTAATACTTTGTTTTATTTACTATCACACAGTTTCTAAACTAAAAATATAGAGTTGAATTTTTTTAATACATGCTATTATACATATACATGTATTAAAACATAATATATGTGTTATAAAACTTTCTATTTTTCTATTGTATGCATAGACTTAAAATGTATATAGCTTTTTACATTATATATACAGCACTATAAGTATATGTACATACACATATACTTAGTGTAAGTATGACATGCATGACATATACTTAGTGTAAGTATGACAATTAAGGTATTTGAGTATAATGCGTATATATGTAGTATATACATATAAGTTATACAAAACACGTATATAAAACATGTATATTGTATAAGATAAACAACTATTTGCTATTTATTTACTATTTATTTAATGTTTACAGTGTAAACTTAAAATTTAATTATATAGTATATATAGTTAGACTTGAGGCGTACAAAGTGTGAATAGACTAAAATACCATTTAGTATGCTAAAATAATATCACTTACTGACCAATATTTTTTCCATAAACTTGGATTGATTGGAATAATGAAATTAATGCTTCTAATGATTCTGAATGTGCTAATTCATCCAGACTATGTTCAACATGCTTTGGTTTTGTAGGTTAGAATTCTATTACTATTGTTTTTGTTTTTTTTATTTATAATGCCTCACATAACAAAATTTGTTGTGTCTAATAAAATACTTAATTAGTTAATATTTTTTTCATTTATTTTCAAACAAAAATATTTAGTGCAAGGAGTAGTTCATATCTGTACAGAGAGCAAAGCTTTGTTTTTCACAAACTCTAGCACAAACAGTCAACTTTCAAACTCAATTTCATGATAATTCTAATCATTTACCTTCTCTACTCAACTTCTGCCTAGTCTTTGATCTTAGTTAGTGCTCAATTTCACCACATTTACCCTAAAGTGCATCGGTTCACAGTTTGACCTCACTAAAACTATTATCTTATTCTTTTCCATCATCAGACTCCCCCTATCATTGTACTTATTACAACTACCTAAAAGCTGACTAAGACACTTTCCGTGGTTTTCTTTGTGATGGCCATTGGGTATAAATATTTTATCTTCATGCTGAAAAATGTACTTCTTATGTAACTTCTTAGATTCGTAATTTATTATTCTTCTAGAGAACTTTGTGTTTTTATTTGTATAAGGGCAACATGGCATGTTGCCGAATCTTGCGATGTTGCTTATTTGTATAAGTATTAAACCACTCTTGCATGGTTCAAATTTTGTTACCTCACCTAAAGACAAAGCTGAATTGTTAGGAACTTTTCATCAATCTCATCTCTTGATTCCATTAATCACATCCTACCTGATATAGCCAACAAATAGGTTGATCCATTGGTTGTTCTCCAGCTTCTGTATTAAAAGTGGTTTCCTGCTTAGACTCTTTTACTATTATAGTTTTGCAGAAGTGTTTTCCAGAGGTGTCATCTATACCGTTAAAACTATTTAAAAAGTGCTTATCAGAGTCTTGTTTTCCAGCTTGCTGAAAAGCAGCATCTATTAACCTTATTTATAAAAATTCTGGAGAGCGATCTGACTCATCTAACTTTTCTTTTTTTTTTTCTTTCTTCCATAAGCAAGGCTTTTGAGACTTTAATTAACAAACACTTAATTTCTCACCTTGAATCTAATGAATTTATAATCATCAATATGGTTTTTGATCTGTTCATTTTACTGACAGTAATAACTGATAGATTTTATTGTACATTAGGTATATATGGAGAGGTTAAGGCTATCGCTCTTGACATTTCTAAAGCTTCTAATAAAATTTGGCATGCTGGTCTTCTCCATAAGCGTTCTTCTTACAGTGTATCTGGAAATATCTTTAGGATTATTAAATCCTTCTTTTCCAATCGTAGTATAAAAGTTGTCCTCAATGGAGAGCACTCTTATTCATGTTCTGTAACTTCAGTGGTTCCTCAAGGTTCAATCCTTGGCCCTATACTTTTTTTAATTTACATTAATAATCTTCCAGATATTCTCACATTCAAGGTGGCATTGTTTGCTGATGATACTACTATTTATTCTTGCCTTGATAAGAAGCCAACACTCTCTGATTGCTTGGAGGAGGCATTTGAGCTTGAAAATGATCTAACTTCTGCTAAAGCATGGGGTTTTCAGTGGCTGGTAAACTTTAACTCATATAAGACTTCTTTTTTTTCCAGATAATTATCATAACAATCAAGATCTTTATTTATGAACAGTAATGTACTCATTGAGTCATCTTCTTTCCTCTTCTAGGATTAAATCTTACTTGTAACCTTTTTGGAAGCCATACACAATTAGCATCTGTTAAGGGTTGCACCTCTTTGTTGTGCTTACCACTTTCTTACTCTGGATACTATTCTTTATCTTTATAAATCTCAAATCTGTCTTTGTATGAAATACTGTTTGCCATATATGGACTGGATCTTTAAATGATGCTTTTTCTATTTTAGACAAGGTGCAAAAATGCATTATAAACATACTTAGACCTGCTCTTGCAGCCAAGCTCAACCATTGTCACATCATCATATGTTGCTTCACTTTCTTTTTTCTATAAACACTGAAATAGGCATTGCTTTAAAGAGCTAGCGTCTTTTGTGCCATCTGCTCAAATTCATTCTCATATTACTTGTCATTCAATAAAGTCTCATATTTTTATTGTCACTGTTCCTAAGTACTCCAAAAATTCTTACTCTTATATCTAGTTTTTTCCTCTAACATCAGTTCTTTAGAACTTGCTCTTTTCATCTTGTTTTTTTGATTCATACAACTTGTAATCTTTTAAGTCATCTGTTAATGGTTATCTTGCTTTATAAACTTCATCTTTTTTTTTCCAGTAACTTCCAACACTAATAGTAGTTGCTTAGGCTGTTGAAGTTATTTGAAAAAAAAAACAATAAATATATTTGTTTTTTCTCAACCTTTCGTCTAGATTTGCTTTAAACTAGTTTAAGTTCCTGGATTTTACAACAATATTGTGAGGTTTGTTCTAAACTTGGCACACTCTGTTTGAGAAGAAATGGATTCTTGAGCTAACTGATACACAACAGTTATATGTTTTGCATGGGGTAAAACACTGCATTCTGATTTTATGTTTGTGACCTCTAGTTGAAGAACATGGGCCATCTAATTCAAAACATGACTTAAAGACTGGTTTGACATTAAGATTGACAAACTTTAAGTGGTTCAATATCTTATATAAATGAACCAAGTCTCCTTGCTTTCTTCTAAGAATTTAATCATTGATGACCCATTTTAACTAACCGCTTTTCATAACTAAGATTCTTACATGAGTATGGTACTTTTGTGATCCTGTGTTGAACTCTTTCAAGCAATGAAGTTTTTTAACACATACTCGTGTTTGATGTTTTAACCTCATATCTGGTTGTACAAAAATATCTAGATCTCCCTCTAATACACTGTTTGAGAGGTCGGAAACAACTCCATTTATATTCTTTGTGTAAGTTTTAAAAATTCCTTGAAGATTATTTAGAATGTTGAATCATATCACCTAACATTTAACAACAAAAGTTGAAAGATTATCTTCCAACTCTTCAAGCAAAAAATTTTTTAAAAGACTTCTACTTATAAAGACACATTAAAAAAGTCTGTATTTGACACCAATATCATTCAAATCTATATAACTATTATTCTAACAAATGAAAAAGATATATTATATGGTTTAATCCTCCTTTTAGTAAAAATTATGTAACTAAAATTGGACGCCTTTTCTTAAACAACTATTAACTCACACAACCAACAAATCTTGCGCAACAAACTCACCGCTAATGATACCAATTGCAACTGCATTAAAAAAACCACATACCTGTTAAATAACAAATGTCTATTGAAAAATGTTGTATATAAAGCCACTTTAGCATCACTTAATCCCAGTCTTACAGAAAAATCTTACGTTGGTATTAGTGAAAATGCATTAAACCTTAGTTTTGCAAACCACTTTAAATCCTTTAATACAACCAGGTATAAAAATAATCCAGAACTTTCAAAAGAAATCTGGAAACATAAAGACGCAGGTAACATGCCTATAATCAAGTGGTACATAATTAAAAAATACCTATCTTACAACCAATCTACAAAAAGGTGTAACCTTTGTATTTACTAAAAGTATTTTATTATGACTTTTGATAGTGGTTCACTACTTAACAAAAAAAATGAATTGTTTTCCGCTTGTAGACATAGGAAAATTTTTTTACTATCTCACTTTATTTCCAACAATTAGCAAATATCAGATCATGTATATTTGATGTAAGATGCCATTGCAGTTTTTTTACATTTACAGTTTTTATTTAATATTTTTGAATAATATAGCTGATGATTGACGAAAGGCATGAAACTTTAATTTCTTAATTATAAAGTTGTACTTTTTCATTTAAATTATTTTAATATAACTTGACTTATTTTTAAAAAAGGATATTGATCACTCTTAAACAGACATTTTAATATTTCCAAAAGTATACATAGATATATTTATCAATAAATATATATACATATAGAGAGGTTAGGTTCTGCTTTTAAAATTGCTGCTTTCAATTTCATTATTTCATGTAATTTGCCCAGCCATGAAGCAATAACATTAATTGCATTTGCTTCGAGAAAAGTCTAGAAAAGTTTTGCCTGATTCCTAGCTGCTATCAAATTTTGTAATTCAAACATTAACTACCAGGAGCATGGGGTGGAGAACTAAATTTCTTGCTTACAAAACAAGCACTCTACCACTACACCATTACATTATATATATATATATATATATATATATATATATATATATATATATATATATATATATATATATATATAAATATATATATATATATATATATATATATATATATATATTTATATATACATATATATATATATATATATATATATATATATATATATATATATATATATATATATATATATATATATATATATATTATACAAATATAACTTCTAGTAGCAATAACATGTTTTAACATGATATTGTACATGTTTAACATGTTTGTACTTTAAAGCTCTATATTTTTAAAACAATAATATGTTTATTCTGCTTATTGATGATTATTGCTTTATTCTGATATATTATATGATATTTATGTTTGTTCTGCTTAAGATTTTAAGTTTTCTGCTAAAAAAGTTTAGCAGAACAAACTTAAAAATCTTTCACGAAGGTATAATGGTTTTTTTAATACTGAACATTGCAAAGCCTAATTATGTAAAATATTAAAGTGATGCAAGTTTTTTGTTTAAAAATGTCAAATTAGTTGCCAATAGCACCAGTAACTAATTAAATAGTAATTAAATACTTTGGTACTAACACTGTTTTTGTTTTACCTTTCTTTTAAAAAAAAAAAAATCAAAAAGTATTTTATTTATGACTAAGTTAATGGACCATAGTCTAGATATGGCAAAGCTTAGCATTGTTTAGTTTAAGGTATTTGTAGTAATTATAATGATTTCCAACATACATACCTACATACATTATAATCTTATATAATTTATAATTACATATATTATAAACAGCCTATACAACTTTAGGCCTATAATATATGTAATTATACACTTATTACACACTTATAACTTAATAAATATACAATCACATAATTTATAAACAACTTACACCCTTCATGCTCATGCATGAATAAAACATTTTTGTAAAATTTTAAAATAAACATTAGATTAATGTATATAAAAATAAATAAATAAAAAGCTAAATTTTTGTGCTGTGTACACAGCACCAAAACCTGAGAACATTAATACTCAGATTATTAATTTTTATTCCATGAAACCATTGGTTACAATACACAACCAGTCATGGTTATAAGTTTGACAAACTCTGCCAAACATTAGAATGTGTTATGTGAAATATACTCTGATGTAAAATTCAAAACAAAAAATGTGTAAACTTTATTTTATGATACGACATGATTTGACTCACTTAGTAATTTATTTATATTATTAACTGTAAAACTGTATTATTAGCTGATAAAATTTAAATTTTAAATAAACATAAACTTAAAACATGAAGAAAATAATTTAATTTAACAAACTTACAGTGTTTCGATCAAGTTCTAAACCACTTTCAGCTGCAGCTTGTTCTTGAAATGTGAGAATGATCATACCAACAAAAACATTGATGAAGAAAAATGAGAAAATAACAACAAACATAAGAAAGTAAATGGATATCCACACTTTATTATTTCTTATAGGACCGAGCCCATCTCCTCTACTATCTATTCCACGCTGCATATGTCTGTGAAACATAAATAAAAATGAAGTCTGTACTACTCAAGTATTGCTATGAATTTAGTTATTTAATAAAGTCATTACTATGAATTTAGTAATACAACTTTCAGTAGAAAAAACATGTTTTCTTTTAGTTACTGCTCAATGGTTTTTTTAAAATGAATAATAAACTTAATATTATTATTGTTAACCCTCACTATGTAAAATATTCAAGTGGTGTAAGTTTCTTGTTTAAAAATGTAAAGTGACATGAATGACTTTTGAATGAGATTTAAAATCTTTCAATAAATTTATTTCTAGGTTAAGAAATCTATTTCTAGGCTCTTTTGGCTAGGAGTGATGGCTTGTGGCCTATGGTGACTAATGTGTGCATTTGATCAATTGAAATCCATTCTGTAGGTCTTACGTCTGGCTCTGATGTGCTAGCAATAGAAAAGTGTGAATAGAAAGCTAAACACACTATCACTCCTTGTGCTTATGGCACAAGGAGTGATTGTGTATTTAGCTTTCTATTCACCCGATTTGAAAGTGAACAAAAACATAATGAGACAATACAAAACAACCAAACGGTACATACTGATGCACTACACCATCACACCTGTAGACATCAACAGCCTCTAAAATCAGTACATCAAACATTTGTTTTTATTATATACTTTTGTTCATAATCTTTTTTTACTTTATCCTTGTATATTTATTCAGATTTGTGTTATAATGTGTGAATGTGGCTGTATATTTGTGAGAAGCATGACAGCGCAAAAGTTTTACACAAAAGTACGTATTAGCGTATTTTTTATAACAAATATATTTTTGGTTGGAATATAATGAACAATTCCACTAGATAAGTTTAGACTTATCACAATTTTGTTGGGTTTTTTGTTTCTATCTAATTTTCTTGATCTGGCGTCGCTAAGTTAGTTTGTTGTGGTTTGCACTATACAGTCTTCACTAACATTCCTTTGGTCGTTTTGTCAACAATATTGTTTTTAACGTTACATTTTTTAGTGGTTATAAGCTATTAGTAAAAAATTGCATTTGTTTTCTCATCTCTTTATTTCCTCATTATTCTCTGCCTACTGACTTAATGTTTGTATATTTTTTTATTACTGGCTAATCGTTGTTTAATTACTCTTAGTCTGTTTTGTGTGATAGCTATTGTCTCTACTTATCAGGCAAGATTTATATGAGAACATACTATTGGAGTTATCATATTTTTTATCATACTTTCGTTTAACTACTTTCGTACTAACCACAAAACATCTTAACTTAGTATCAATGCTTATGAGTGGTAATTACTTATTATATTTATAATACATATTTCAGCCATAAAAAAAAACTGTAAGTTACTATTAATTATTAATTACTATTTTCTATTCGCTTAGTGTTATTTCTACACATTATAATTGTTTATTTATACTCCCGCATACGTACATGTGTACAAGTTTGTTTCTTCTAATATAAGAGTACCTTATATTTATATGTGTTTACATATCTCTTTATGGTCACATTACGCACATCCCTCACCACCATCATGAGATCTCTAAGAATGTTGGAGCTGTTTTCAAAAACTGGGATAGGAATTGGGTTATTTGGTTTTTGTAGTGTAGTCCTATTATATTGCAATATTGACTAGCATGACGTAGAGTGCAGGCAGCGAGATCTGTTGCAAGGACACAATCCTGACAAGTGGCGTTAGTGCAGGTCTCGGGCTCTCCGAAACATCATTGGTGATTGCAGTGCATTCCTGAGGAGGGGGATCACCATTTATCCACTACTTAATTCTAATTGGTTATTATGGCACTAACATTTTTTTACCTCTTACACCCATGAATTTTTGCGCTTTGTGAGCTTTTTATTATGAATTTGTTACATTATCGACATTTATATATTTTTATGTTACACAGGTGATTATCAGTTCTCAATTTTTTATCTAGAGTTTAGAACATATATAATACCACGTTTATTAGACATTTGTATGGTGCAATTATTGTATAGTACGATTATTTTACTTATGAATACCATTAATAAACCAGCGGATTCATTGTTTTATTATTTGCTAAAAGATGACTAGAGTGTGAGTTTTTTTTCCAATGTACATTACAACAACAAAACGGACATTAGGCTATCCTGCTGGATGTGGTTACAGCGCTCAATAACCTGATAACTACGCTGACACTCACGTACATGTTCAGTTGGAAGCTCCACAATGCACATTGAACCAGCACTCACTGACTATGTGCTCAGATCTGAATCTTCATAGCACATCATTCCACACCAGCACGGGGTAGTAGCTCTTTTGGCTAAGAGTGATGCCTTGTGGCCTATGGTGACTAATGTGTGCATTCGATCAATTGAAATCCATTCTGTAGGTCTTGGCTCTGATGTGCTAGCCCATAAGCACAAGAAGTGAGTGTGTTTAGCTTTCTATTCACCCGATTTGAAAGTGAACGGAAACATAACGAGACCATACTAAACGACAAAACGGTACGTACTAATGCACTACTTCATCACACCTGTAGACATCAACAGTCTTTAAAATCAGTATATAAAATATTTGTTCTTTGTTACATATGATCTACACACAGAATGACTAGAGTGTTAGTTGGTTCTCTCCCTGCCCCTCGAGCATTAAACTTCGTTCTTCACCTTCACAAAAGTCTTATCACTCATTTTAAATTTTCTTATGAATTTTATTTTTTATTCAATGACACCATCTTCTAACTGTTTTTATTATCACATCTCTCAGGTCTACGAAACTGGACGGCTCCGTTGGTCACTTTTTGCAATCATTGTGTCGCATAAACAAAAAATTTTAATTCATTACTTTTGAAAATTAATTTATTTACTTTGGATGCATTACATTTATATTCGGTTATATATTAGTACATTTAGTCGAACTAATATATATATTTCCTACTATTTAATAATGCTATTGAAAAAAAGTAATTTATAATTAGCATGACATTTTTGTAGTTTTCATCCTCAACTTGCTAATCTCCAAACTTTAATAGATGGGGATAAATGGATATATAAAAAACTATAATATGTGTTTATGTGCACTAACAGTAATTGAATAATTAATTTTAAATAAAGTTGTATAAAATAAAGTTTTATACAATTATATTTAGAATCTATTTTTTAAACTCAAAGTCTTTTTAAATATTATTAAATTGTAAAAAAAATTTATTAACCTTTATATTTTTAAAACACAAAATAAAACAACACAACATGTTTTGAACATTAAAAGTTTTTTTTTTCTTTTTTCTTTAGACTAAAAAATTTAATACTTATCAGTATCAATATTATCAAACAAATAATTGTCTACTTCAGCAAGCACATACATATTCTTATTTCTAAAAGCATGTATACAACTAACATAGGTGCAACCCAGCTTACAGCTAATTATAACGTTTTAATACCAGAACAATATTATGCATAATGCTTTAAAGAAAAAAAATACTGAAAATTTGCAACTTCCACTTTTTAAAGACTAATTAACAACCGCTTTTAGATTTAATAGTTGCTATGACAATTCTGTTATACAAACAACAGCTATGTTTTTTTTGGCATTACAATTTGTATTATACAGTTATAAAAATATGTAAAATAAAAAAATAAAAAAAGCAGTTACAAATATTACATAAAACACCATAGTAGACACAATAAAAAGTATACAAATGATTACATAACAATATCATTAAAATATAAGTACAAAAAAAAAGGGGTAAAATATTTGAAAATAGAATATAGAATTTATACAAATTCAATATTTCATACTCAATAAAAACCATTTGTATTTGATCTATAAGAACTTCAAATTTTTCTAATTACAACAATAAACTAACAAATAAAAGTCACTAATGTTTTATGTTTACTTCTTAAAAACAACTTTCTTACACAAAAAATCTCTAAATAACTTTCATGTGGACCTCTTTTGGGGCAGGTTTCTTGTATAAATGTCTCTTGGAAAAACTTGTGAGATAAAAAATTGTCTCTTGAACAGTAAAAACACAAGTCGTGTACAAATAAAAGAAAACAATTAAAAATAAGTTTGAAATAAATTATATTTTTAATTTAAAGAATAAATGTATGCAAAGAAAAATAAACTTTTTTTTTTAAATGTTACCCACTTTATTTTTTTTTAGTCTTTATAAAAACAAACACATTTTCAAGATTTTATGATTTCTTTTCAAATGCACACAATTCATGTGCACTTAATGCTTTAATTTATCTTAGACTTTTTGTTTAACTGTCTCAAATTCAATTTTTTAAAGATAATTGCATAAACATTTCCGCCAATCATTACACAAATAATATATGTATAACTATAACTGTCTCTTTATATTAATGCTGAACTTAATAGTAGTAGTTGTAGTAGTAGTAGTAGTAGTAGTAGTAGTAGTAGTAGTAGTAGTAGTAGTAGTAGTACACTTTTGAGCGTGTTTGAGACAGAACTCTTGACAGCCATTGCAACTACGATAACAATGAGAAAGAATCGCCCAGCACTTTTTTTTATAAGAAAATGTGAACGAAAGTGTATGCAAATATCTAACTTATGTAAACTTCAAATTATTTAATGTTGAAATATATATCAAGTTTTAAAGTTTTACTTTTAATTGAAAATTGCATTCTTCTCGATATTGATCTACAGCATTTATTCGCCATTTAATAAAATACTTTGTTTATTAAATACTATTAAAACTTAAAATTATATCTTAAAATAAACCTTAATGGCAGAAGTGGTTAGCTGGCAGCATTTCTAAAGTGCATCGCAGTAGTTCAAACCCTTGCGCTTGCACATTTTTTTCTTTTTTTTTATCTTATTTGTTTTTTTTTAATACAAAATAAAGCATTTTTGAAGTTATAAGGATATTAAATACATAAATAAAGATATTATAAAATATAAAAAACGAAAGTTCTAAAGATATTAAATACATAACATAAATAAAGATATTATAAAATATAAAAAAACAAAAGTTCTAAAGATATTAAATGCATAACATAAATAAAGATATTATAAAATATAAAAAAACAAAAGTTCTAAAGATATTAAATGCATAACATAAATAAAGATATTATAAAATAAAAAAAACAAAAGGGAGAAAACTTTTAAAAAAGCTTCTTCAAACATCAAAACACTGGGAGACTTTGTTGTGAATAGGTCATGATAAAGATGTTTAGTTATTAATGTGCTTAAGTAATTTGTTCTAAAAACCGGCAGATGGTCTGAAAAAAGATTATGGTCTAAAAATAGAAAAAAACTAAAAGTAGAAAAAAACTAGTAAGCCTGTCTTGCTACTCAAAAAGGGGCAAAAAAGAAGAAGAAAAAAAAAGCCCACAGCTACCAAAAACTTTTAAATTTTATTTCAACAATTAAGAATTTTTTTTGCTAGAAATATATTTGGCCACAGTGAAAATATTGAAAATGTATTGTGTTAAGGGGCAGATTTGAACTCTTGCAAATCAACACAAATGACAGTTTGTGTATATAAAAAAACTAGTAAGCCTGTCCTGCTACTCAAAAAGGGGCAAAAAAGAAGAAAAAAAAAAAGCCCACAGCTACCAAAAACTTTTAAATTTTATTTCAACAATTAAGAATTTTTTCAAATCATTGGTTTAGTGATATATAAATATATCACTAAGCCACTGATATATCAAAATTATGCATGTAAAAGAAAAACGTATACAGAAAAGGTGCCTATGTTAATTTTTGTTGCTCTTTAAGCAATTTTTTTTATAAATTGTTTTTATACCATTGACAAAAAAATACTGAAGTAAATAAGGAATAAGTATAAAAATGATTAGTGTGGAATAGATTAGTATAGAAATGGTTGGCTTGCTTTCAAGCAGCCCAAAGTAAAAAAGAAGTCTCATAAAAGTTTCTTTTTTATATAAAAACTCATAACTTATAAGCAACATGTTTATAAGTTTGTTTTAAGTAATTATAATTATGTTATAATAATGTTTATGTGTTACACTTACAACTTATAAAAAAAATGTAAAAACATGTCAAAGTAACAACATGTGAAAGTAAAAAATGAAATCTCATCAACGTTTTTTTTTTATATATAGAAGATTATGACTTATAAACAACATGTAAGTATTAATCCTAGATATTTAAAACATGTTAAAAATTATATATATTCATATTAAAAGAAAAAAATTAAAACATACATGTACCAACCATCACCAGTTGAAGATGCAAACAAAGTAATAAAGGCCTCAACTGTATTTTCAAAGTTAAAAGGATAAGTTTGCCAGGTTCGTTCATTTTCCTAAAAACCAGAAACCAAAATTTATTAAACAACACATTTAAATTTAGCCAGATTAAAATATACTTTTGGGCTAATAAATTGATATTATTTTATTAGTAATAGTATAATTATTAGAAAATAATTTATAATTATAAAATAAAAATAAACATTGTTGAAAACTTCTAATTAAATTTTATTATTTAATAATTAATTACTGTATAACTAATTTATGATTTTAACTTAAGTTATAATATTAAGTTATTTTGTGGTATTAACTTAATTTGTATATTTTATGATGGTAACTTAAATTGTATATATTATGATTTTAACTTAAGTTGTATATTTTGTGGTATTAACTTAATTTGTATATTTTATGATGTTAACTTATTTGAATATTTTATGATGTTAACTAAGTTGTTTATTTTAGGCTCTGAAATAATAATAAAATAGGCTAATGTTAGAAAGCTGATATTTAAATTTTTTTTTAATAATAAATTTCCAAAAACAATTGACACAAAAACAAAACCTAACCATTACCCACTAATTAACACATAAGTTATTATACTATTTTTAAAGAGTTTACACTTGCTTATATCTTTGAGTGCTTTTTATTATTTATTTATTGTTTTTTATTTCAGTGAAATCTATTTTATTAAAACAAAAAAATAAAATCAAAATTTAAATGATAACATAGAAGGTAAACAGTTTGATGCAAACCAGTTGTCAACTAAATGTTCCTCTAAATCAACTGTCTATAAGCATAACCTAACCTTATCTATTTAATAAATAATAGCATTTATAGCTATTATTTGAAATGAGATTGAACATATGTACTTAAAAATCATGCATTTGTTAAAACAACATAATGTAACAAATGCCTATAAATTTTCTTTGAGATTTTTTTTTTTTTTAAAATATAACTAATTTTGTATTTTTTTATTGACATTTGTTTTTATTAATTATCAATTCTGTCTTTACCAGTTGAACTTATCCTTAACCTTAAATTTGACCTATATTTTTATCCTCATCATTACAAGTTTTACTCAAATAAAATTAAACTGAAATAAATTCATACTTACAACTAACTATCGAATATTTAAGTTTTATAAATTTTTATTTAAAGCTTATTTCTATTAATTATATTATAAATCATAATTACTTATACTAATTATTTATAAGGTTAACGCATAATTAAATGTATAGAATAGAATGTTAACTTCACAAAAACTTAGGTTAAAACTCAAGTAATAATATAAATATACAATGGGTGCATTGGGTGTTTTGCTGTGGTTTTTATCAAAAGTTATTAAAATAAATAGAATTTGTACCAATAACATTTATGGATTATTTAAAACAACACAAAAGTTGTATAAATTTAAACAAACAACAATAAAACTAACAGATTAAAACATGTCTAATAACATCTTAAAATAAACTTACAACTGGTGTATTGTAGTTGTTTTTATCAAAAGTGATGTAATTTCCACTAAATAAATAAACAATTAAAAAATGTTTTTAACTACATAAAACTAACATACGTCAAGTAAAAATTAACGCATCACTTATTTAATTTTTTTGTAATAGTTGACACTTAATTTAAAATCATACTTAAATCATATCGTAACTTATGTCTTGTCAAAAATGCAGACAAATATTATAAAACTGTTTGCTGATGACAGGAGCTTTTATTAAGTAATTATAATTGATAATGACTTATTACTAATTATAATTGAGGAATATGAAGTAGTAATTATTGAATTAACTGGATTTAGACAACTATTTACATGACAAATTTGTAACAGCATTACAACAAAGCAAATAAGGCAGATGCTTTTGTTTGGCTTGTGTAAAAGTGTAAAAAAAGTGTAAAACCAATGTCAGACTAAGTGATATATATGGTATTTGTTAAAGAAAAAAAAGTCTACAAAAGTCTATATTTATCCAAAATATTTTTTAAAAAAAGTCATTTTTAAAATGTCATTATCATTATTTTCACTTACACACTGGAAAAAAAAAAAATTTTAAAAAAGGGATTTAACCAAAATGTAAATATTTTATGGAATTAAAATTTTTCATTAGTTTAAGTAAAATGTAAGTTGCATTAAATAAGAAATTTTGTTTTTCTCAATTCAATTTTTACTTATTTTTAGTTAAATAGTTAAATTACATGGAAGGATTTGTAAGCCAATCAACAGCTAGAATTGGTTTTGTAAGCCAATCAACAGCTAGCTGGGCTAGTTTGTGCATGATTGCTGTAATAATTATGACGATAGCTGATGGAATTTTGCTTTGAAGCAGTTGACACTGATAAAACTGACAATTTCATTTGGTAGTGCCTTCCATGGGTGAGTGAATTAAAAATTAAAATTTTTGAAATGAACAATGCAATTGTTGTCTTTTTTACAATAAAAGTGCTTGCGATGCCAGATAACTGAGTTAATGTTATTCTTGATTTTGTATTTTTGGATAAGTTTGAGCATAAACATCTATCGAGTAGAGATGTGAGTCCGAATTTGAGGCATCTATCATGTGATTAAAGCGCTTCATTTTGTGGGGTACTTTTGTAGCCTAATGCTGAATGCATTTTTTTGGCATTTATGTCTTTTTTAATTTTTTTTTGTGTGGATAACAGCAAATTTGTGATGTAGGAGTATATAGGTGGTGAAGGTTTTTTTATATTTTGGCGTTTCTGCTGATGAAGATGTGTTTAAAGATTCCAAGGACGTTATTGGCCTTGGAAGCAGCAATATTGGCTTGATTCTTGTGCTTTAGGTTGCTGGTAATTTGAGATGTTATTACTTAAAATCATGTCTACAGGAAGCATATGAAAAATGGTGTAGGTTAGTAAGTGCATGGTCTTGAGCAGATTTATGATGCAACCTTTTATTATTTTAAAACTAAAAACTTTAAAATTTTTATAAACAAAATTGAAAAAATGAAATAATGAAATTAGTTTTATTAACAAACAAAGAAAAAAATATATTATATGTTTCATTCAACTATTTGTTTATTTCTTTCCAAGTTATAAAATGCCTTTTTATTCATTTATTATAAATAGAAAAACTGCCATAAAATAAAAATAAAAAATCTTACTGGCATTCATTCATATCTTTGGATTCATCAGTACAATACCAAAAGAGTCCCTAAATTATGCAAAAAATAGTTTTAAAAAGGTTATTATTATACAAACTATGAAACGTTTTTAAAAAAATTATTGATGCAATATCACAAGATATTTTTAAAAAGATATTTATACTTTTAAAAAAAATATAGCTTTAATGTAGAGAGTCTATTATATATTATTTATATATTTATAATTTTACATATTTATAATCAATTTTTTATGTAATAAATAAATCTAATAAAAGTGAAATATAAGAACAAAGTTAAATAATATCCTTACATTAAACAATTGTACACCCATAATAGAAAAAATGAGCAAAAGTTGAGCTGTTATTATAAGTACCATGACAACGTTTTTTAATGAAAATATCATACATATAAACACAGCCTGAAATAAGAAAAAACTGTAATTTGAAACAAAACCATTTGAATAAATAATTTAAACTAATTTTGTTGACTTAATTGTTTGCTTTAAATTTAATTCTCTTGTTAACTATTTTTTCACAAAATTATTCAATATTTTCCTAAACTTTTTTATCTCATTGTCTCAACTTTTTTGTCTCATTGGATCATAAATAATAATAAAAGTTTATATTCAAATATTTTATATAAATAATTCTATAAAATAATTAATTATTTAAATCACTTTTTAAACTTCAATATTCAAAAAATATTGAAATATGTATATGTAATGAATATAAATTTTTGATATAATAAATAAATAAAATAAATAATATTAAAAAATATATTTAAGGACTTTTTTTAAAGGAAGTGATTTTCTTCCTATTATGCATTGATTATCTAGATGCATAAATTCATCTGTATAAGAAATAAAAAAAGAAAAATTTTATAATTACACAATTGTGAGCAACTATAAAATTTTCTGGTTGTTTTATTTTTTGTTTAGTCATTTTTTTTAACTTTTAAAAGCATCAATAAAAAAAAAATGTAAAAAAGCAGACAAAAAGAAATATTTTAAACTTAATATATAAAAATCTAAAAATAATTAAATTTAATTTAAAGTTTAAACTATACTACTGTAGTGGTTAATAAAAAGAAAAAAAAAACTTAAAAAACATAAAATGAAATTTTTATCATCTATTGAAAAAAAAGTATTTTCAAAATTTGTTTAAAAAAAATGAACTCTTAAATAATATAGTTTTTTTCAAAACAATTTTAAACTATAAAAAAGCTCATTCAAAAGAAATACAAGGCTTTTCAAAAAAAAAAAATTTTTTGTATAATATTTAT